AATCCATTGCTAATACGAGATTTGAAAAGGGAGGGAAAAAAAGTTAGGCAAAAGACGGGATCGAACCCGGGTCGAGCGTGTCAAAAAGCCAAAGGCACACTTTTATCCATCTGCGCCACTGAAGCTGATATTTCACAGCCACTTTTAACTAAATGTAAATAGACACCCCGTATTTTTTATTTCATAGTAAGGGCAATTCATACAATACATTTAAACTGAGCTACTTTAATACCATCTCCGAACTTTCTACCAGGACTCTGCTGTTCTTCGGCTGGTTCTTCCTGTATATGTTGATTGACAGATGTCTCGTCCAGTCAGCGGTGAGTAATCCCAACCAATGGCGCTGTCTCAAACTATACCTACCTCTTCCAGTTTGTCTGATTTGTCGTTGTGTTTTCTGACTTGTTAATTTGTTTTCGGATTTGTCGTTGTGCTTTCTGACTTGTTATAATGTTTTCTGAATTGTTGTTGTGTTTTCTGACTTGTTATTTTGTTTTTTAGACTTGCATTTGCGTTTGTAATTTGTTATTTTGTTTTCAGAATTGTGATTTGTTTAGCACTTCTCGGCCACCGTAAATATTTCCTAAGCTACACTATCGTTCAAAAGTTTGGTAAAAATGTTTAAATTTTTTTGTGTGAAAATTTCTCTTATGCTTGCCAAAGCTACATTTCTTAATCAAAACAACAGTAAAAACCATAGTATTGTGAAATATTGTTACAATTTTTAAAAGCTGTTTTGTATTTGAATATATTTTAAAATGTAATTTATCCCTGAAATGCAAAAACTTAATCTTTAGCAGCCATTACTCCTGCCTTCAGTGTCACATTATCCTTCAGAAATCATTCTAATTTTATGCTGATTTGGCACTCAAGTAACTTTTTTTTCTGAAACAATTTGATTTAGGATTCTTTGATGACTAGAAAGTTCAAAAGAAGAGCATTTATTTGAAATAGAAATCTTTTGTAACATTACAAATGTCTTTTATTCTTTGTCTATAGATGTCTTATAAATGTCTATACTTTAATAATGATAATCTGTTATTTTAAAAGATTGATTGGAAAAATGGAACCCGTTTATGTATTTTTATTTGTAATCAAATAAAGTAAGTGTAGCTGTTTATGTACATTTGGCACTCAGATCTCTCTGGATTTCTGTCTGAATAAATGTGTGTTTGTATATTGTGCAGTGAAGAGGATGTGGAGGACATCAGAGGATTCCCCAGAGAGAAGCTGATCGCTCTGTGTAAATATGAACCAATCAAACAGTGGATGAGGAGCTGTGATCACATCCTGTATCAGGCACTGGTAGAGATCCTCATCCCTGATGTACTGCGGCCTGTTCCAAGTTAGTATTTATACTTATGCACACACTTACTGTGACCTGTTCCTTGGTCAGTGTTGCTGCTGGACTGTAAGCAGAATGTTTGAGTGCATGACTGATGGGAAATGTGATCCTGCAGGCACCCTCACTCAAGCTATCAGAAACTTCGCAAAGAGTCTGGAGGGGTGGCTGACCTCAGCCATGAGTGACTTCCCACAGGAGATTGTCCGCACTAAGGTATGTGTGTGTTTCTGAACGGAGACAATTTGCTGAAAATTCTCCAAATCAGACACAATTCTAAGAAAGCAGGAGTTTCTAAGAATTCTAAGAAACCCCAAAAATTCTGAAAAATTTATATTTTTCTAAAATTCTATAATAATTATACTCCATACATGCTTCTTTTTTTTCAAATGTGAATTAAGCAATACGGTAAAAACTGTTGTTAAAATATATTAAAATTTTAAATAATACAAATATAAAATGACCTTTATTCCTGTGACAGCAAAGCTGAATTTTCAGCAGCCATTACTCCAGTTTTCAGTGTCACATGATCCTTCAGAAATCATTCTAATATGCTGACTTGATAATAATAAGAAATGTTACTTGAGCACCAATGTTGAAAACAATTGTGCTACTTAATATTTTTGTGGAAGCTGTGCTGTTTTTTTTCTTCAGGATTTTTTGATGTATAGAAAAGTCAAAATAACTGCTTTTTTGTAACAGAACACTTGTTACGCTATAAATGTCTTTACTGTCACTTTTGATCAAGTTAATGCAAATGATTAATTTCTTTCCAAAAAATGTCCAGATCTTTGAATGGTAGTGTATATTAAATACGTTGTTAGGTTAACGTTTATGTTTATGTGCTTTAGAGGTGAATGGTGTACCCTTGGTGAGTCTTACCATACAGGATGTGAGGATTAGATATTTTTGTGTGTTAATGCTCATAATGTTTTGCTGTCATTTGCACAGGCTGCAGTAGTGAGTGCGTTTGCGCAGACCCTGCGCCGCTACACCTCTCTGAATCACCTGGCCCAGGCAGCACGAGCCGTCCTGCAGAACACGTCCCAGATCAACCAGATGCTCAGCGACCTCAACAGAGTGGACTTTGCTAACGTACAGGTCTGTCTCTCTCATCACACCCCGTCTCTGAATGCCGAAACCACTTTGACCTCCTGTCTCAGGTTCATGGATGTTAGGTGTAAGGTGTGTGTTGCTGCTCGGCTCACTCGGTGTGTGTTTGTTTGGCACAGGAGCAGGCGTCCTGGGTGTGTCAGTGTGACGAGAGTGTCGTCCAGCGTTTGGAGCAAGACTTTAAGGTGACCCTCCAGGAGCAGAGCTCTCTGGATCAGTGGGCCGCCTGGCTGGATAACGTTGTCAACCAAGTGCTGAAACCCTATGAGGGCAGTACTAGCTTCCCCCGCGCCGCACGCCAGTTCCTGCTCAAGTGGTCCTTCTACAGGTACAAGGCTCTCTAGAATAATGCGGTATTTCCAGTGCATTTATTTCAGTTCAGTTTCATGAACTGATCTTCTGAAGAGAGTTGATTGAAAGCAGCACTTTAATCTGTCTTCTTTAAGTGTGGTTGTGCTAGTTTGTAATGAAACTCTCCGTTGCCCTGGTTTCAGCTCCATGGTGATCAGAGATCTGACTCTGCGCTCGGCTGCCAGCTTCGGCTCCTTCCACCTCATCCGTCTGCTTTATGATGAATACATGTTCTATTTGGTAGAACACCGTGTTGCCATGGCAACCGGAGAAACGCCCATCGCTGTCATGGGGGAGGTGAGGAGATCTGGCTGCTTTACAGTTTCATATTTCTGATGCTTCACGCTTGCGTTTTGAAAATAAAATATTGCGGGCCTGAAAAGTGTTTTCAGGGATTTTAATTAAATAACAATATCCAAGAGCATATATACATGTGTCAGCAGAGTGTTTTTCTGAAATGTCCTTCTCAAATTATGTATTGTGTTTAATAGCATGGGGTGGAAATTACATTTCAAACTTTTCTGGGATAAAATGACTAAATACTTTTGCTGAGGCTAGTATCTCAGCTAGCATTTAACATATACTAAGTGCAGAAAATTACATATTTACAATAGATATTTTCACTATATACATACAGTGATTAAAATAATAATAATAATATTTATTATTGTCTATCTATCCATCCATCAGTTTATACAATTAATTTTAATAAGAATACAATAAATAATAATTATTAATAATTGATCATTATTATTTGTTATGTTAATTATATACACCCATCCTAATAATGATATTAATAATATAACATTTTAATAATTTAATATATATATATATAATGTATATGATAGTTAATATTAATATATCTATCTACATACTAATAATGATCATTTTTTTAAAGAAATTAATAATGTAATAATTAAAATTAATAATCATTTATATTATATTATTCTCTCTCTATATATATATAATAAAATTAATCATTACTAATAATTAATTATTATTGTTATATAATTAATTAAAAACAAATTCTGCTCACAAGTGATATTTACCTTACACTTTTGTCTTCCTGGTTATGAGGTACACTAACTTTTGGTAAAATTGTTGCTTGTGTTGGAAATGATTTGTTTAAACATTAATAATTTTCAAACAATGAATATTGAATTGATTTAACTTTTGTTTAGATCATCATTATTTATACTAAATAGTTTCTAAAATGTAATTAAATATGAAAATCCAACATACAATAAAAGTATGAGGTTTGGTTTTTCATTTTTAATGTTGCCGTCTTCACATTTTCAGTTCAGTGACCTCAGCTCCATGATGCCATCACTTATGGAGAAAGGTAGCGATTTTGATGCCAACCCAAACTTAAGTTTCTGTCTCATTTTGAAGGTTCCTCTGCTCTGTATCCAACCTCCTTCTCTTTTCCTCTCCCAGATGCCTCATTCTCAGACGATCTGGCCAGTGATGGAGACATGTCGAGGATGAGCGAGAGGAGCATGAGCGAGCCGGCGGTGAAGAGCGAGCGAATCGAGATCAGTCCCTCCCTGCAGGAGATCTAATCAGCCTCACCCCTGACCACCGCAGACCCAGCCGGACCACCTCAAAAAGCTGCCGGTGGCAAAGATAACACTCATCTGTGAGGTTTTTCTTTATCTTGAGGGTACATAGGTCTGCTTAGGGTCAGTGTGTGTGTGTGTCTCTCTCTCGCCTTTAGGTTTTCTGCGACTGTGAAACAAGAACGTGCTGGTTTTGTGATGTTTTTGTCATGTGCCATAGTCTTCTTTCAGTGCCTTAGACGAGAAAAGAAACACTAGAGCAGAACTGTCTTTCTCTTTGATTTTCTCTTGTTCTGTCATTCTCTCGGCCGTGCCTCTAACCACAGAATGAATGTATCGTCTCAGAACCTCAGATGTCTAAAGCACCTTTTAAAGATGGTCACATCTTTAGACTTTCTGCCTCGGCCGTTTCTTTGCGGTTCCTCAGGCGTAGATGCAACCTGCTGACCCCAAAGTCTTTTCAATGCCGAAATGGACGGAGAACGCTCCATTCTAGCCGTTTTGTAGATAAACCCCGGCCATATGAGATGCCTAGTCTATACCTCAACTGTTTTTAGTTCTAATGAATTAATGTCTAACTTTTATTACATTTTATAAAAATCACTATAAGAGATTATTCGACTCGGTTTGGTCTGATCGGTTGCCCTGAAAGCGCCCCGTTCTCGTTCGAAAGCTTTGGGATGTACATACGCCTACTGTATTGATGGATATTGTTCTGTTTTAAATGAACCCAAGCAGAGCAGGTCCTATCAAAACTGGTTTGTGAAACGTTTTGGTCTAGTTTTGTAGTTCTTGGTTGTTAAAAAGAGCCTAGTTGATATATTGAACGTACCTGTGTGTGAGGCCTTCTGAAGTAACTGGAAGTGAGTGTGCACTCACTCAACAGGTTATGTGAATAGTTTTCATGTCGTTTTTATTAAAAACGAACATACAAGTTTTTTTTTATTATTGATTAAAATCACTTCCTATACATATTTAAGTAGATATTGTGTAAATGTAATTACAAAAAAAAAGAAAGTAAAAGCTATATAATAGCTAAAAGCTTTTTCTAGAAGATGTAGAAAACCCAAAATAGACACATAACAGAATATGCAGATTCTTACAGATACGCCTCATCACCTGGTGCTGTACATCTGATGTTTTAGTTTTCACGCTTGTAATGGAAACGATGTGCCCACTTAGCTGACGTAAAGCTGGAAATATTTTCAGGAGATATGTCGTTTTCAGGTTGGGATCTTTACTGGTGCCTGGTAGCGGCCCGTAATGGGCACCCTACATGTCCCTCTGATATTTACAAAGATAAACTTCATTTCTACTAGCTTTGTGTTTGTTTCTGAGAAGTGATTGGCAGAGGTTTTCTCACTGTGGTTGATTGTGAGTGTCAGGCTCTGTACTTTAACGCCTGTCATGTTCTTTGCCTGTTGTGTGCTTTTGGGAAGGGAATTTGCTCAGTGTATTTTTATTTTATTTTTTTTAATGCTGTTTTAAAGCTTCTGGCTAAGGATTATTTTTATGGAAGTAAATGCAATTCTTCTCACTATATTGATACCTTATTTTTGTGTCTTTTAAACAAATCTTTATTTAGCCTCAACCGCTTAGTTCCGACTGTATTTTGTACTGGTAAAAAGTGTAATAAATTTGTGTAAACCACTTTTGTCTCCGATGCTTGCAGTGTAATTGACACACATGGACTTATTTTTCATATTAAACCTTTCTTGAATACTCAACATGCATACATTCTGTAAATATCAGAACTTTATATCCATTGTACGTTCATACTTATTCATTCACAAATTTGCACTAAAAATGAACAGAAATATATCCAGTTCTTCAAACTTGAAATAAATGTGTGGCTTGTGCACCAAACAAAGAATTCTATACAGATAAAAGTAGAGGCTGGTTGTGGTCCCTAATTCCAGTGCATACTTGTCCTAGAGCAATGCATCATGGGTATTACTAGCGGTTTCCCACACATCACACTGTGTATATATATATACAACATGATCTCTCCTCTTCAGGCCTGTAGCACGTGGACAGTTCCAGCAGCTCAGGGGGGTTAAAAAGTGCAAACTTTGTGCCTCTGGTAGTGAAGCAGTCACCATCACCGCTCATAAAGAACAGCCAGCCATGTATTTTCCTGTAAAACAATACAGATGAATGTCAGATCTATGATATCATGCTGTTATCATTATATCTGTCTCGAGTTGCTATTTCAAGAAAAAAGCATTTTAAAATCATACCATTAATCATACATCATTACATTATCAAACTATATATATATATATATATATATAATATATAATATTTCAGCTAGTAGCAACATTTCTTATTTTAGTTTAACTTGTACTAGAATATTTAAAACTGAAATAAAAATAAATACTATTTAGACACAAACTACTAAAAATCACAAAACAACAAAATTACTAAAACCTTCAAATGAAACCAGAAAATAGAAAAATAAAAGCAGATTTAAAATATTAATAAAAACTAATAGTATCTCAATGATACTAAAATAACACATATGATTAGGTGAATGTCAAGCTAAACGGTCTTATTTCAAAAATAGATGCTATCAGAAACCTATATAATCATATTCCTGCTGATATTTTTTGCAATTTACACTTGAATGGCTAAAATATTCGCATTTATGCATTTGACAGATGCTTTTATTCAAACTGACACTATTCAAAACAATTTCATAAGTTCATGCATTAACTGGGACTTGAAACATGTTATGTTTGTTATGAAAAAAAACGTTATGTAAGTTCTGCCATAAAATAGATTTTTAGAAAAGCTTAGCTTGTTGCACAATGGTAACACTAACATGGACAAACAAAATCACAAACTTAAAAGTGCAGGAGGGACCAGAGCTATATATTTACTAGAAAATCAGAATTGGACCAGAAAGCAACCATCTAGAGGACTTCCTAGCAACCACCTGGTAACAAGATATCCAACAGAATAAACATTTCTGAACTGAAAAGAGCTGCTTATGAGAGACAAAAAGTAGGTCTGGCTCCCACCTGTGGCAAACCTCTTCTTCACCAGGGACATGCGGTAGCGGCTGCCCACCAGCTTCACGTCCAGGCCTGCGAGAGAAGCTCCCGATCCCACAAACTGCACAGCCAGGCTCGGGGGAGGACCGCGGGGCACCTCCAGGCACTGCCAACTGGCGCACAACGTGCCAGACCCTGAGACCCAGAAACACACACACATTCACAGAGTCACAGCTGCTCTTGGGTTCACGCCACATATGTGCGAGAATAAACATAAATGTTGAAATAAAAGAGCATCTTAGAACATCCTAATGGTGCCCATATTTTAATATGTTGCTTCCAAAATGTACACAGCACTCCCATGATGCTCTGTCAGATCATATGTATTCATAAGTTTGTTTCTTGGCCTCTTGCTCTGAGCAGCCTCTCTTCCACCCACTTCCACTGAAAACATCTTGTGTCATTACAGTGATCTAAACGCAGATGTACCAACGCTAAACTATATATAGTGCAATGCTTTCTTCTCTCTCTCTTAAGAAAATCAATATTTGTTAAGATATTTAGTTCTTCCATTTTATATCACTGTTGCTTGAAAAGTTCTAAAATGAAACTTTTAAAATGAAAAATCTGTCATTATTTACATTATTTCAAGCCCATGTGCTTTTTTGGTGGAACTCTAAAGAATCCCTATTTTTTTTAATTAGTATTCAATCTAAAATCAAATTACAACTGTATGCTGCAATTAAATCAAATAAGGCACAGGTTAGACCATGTTGTTGTATATGTGCATTCATTGTTTGCCTTGGGAGTGGGTTTAAATTAAATATATAGAAATATTGAAAAAAAAAACAAAGACTAATAAAAATGACAAGCAGATAAAATGTCTAAATTAATTATATCAATATTAATAAATACTATTTTAGTATATACACAATAATAATACATAATAACACTGTTTCGTATACAGTGTATAAGCTGTATAGAGCATGTTTTTTTTGGTCCTCTTTAGAGCTTGGCAGTCATTGGTTACCATTAACAGAATGACACGAAAATGTTCCTTTTATGGAAAAAAATAATGCTATTCATATTTGGAATGACATCAGGGTGGGAAACAATTTTCTTCCCTTAAACATGAATCATGAATAAGCGATAACAAAAAGAAAGGTGAGGATGAACAGGAGGTGGCAGCAGTGACCTTTGCTGTGATTTGTCGGAGAGAGGTTGGACAATTTCCATAGGAGTCGTCTTTCCTCTGCGTTCCTGTGAAACAAACAAACAAACTTGAATCTAAAAATCTATCATCATATATTCACTTCATTTTCTCTTTTGTTTACATCTCTAAAGGCAACCACCTAAACATCAATTGTCTTTTCTTGGAAACTCCTCATACTGTGTTATTAATGTAAGTGATTCACCACACCCTCCAGTCACACACTGCTTCTCACCAGGATGCGGGCGGCTGGCACTGCAGGTCGGTGGCCGTGTGATCGAGGGGCAGCAGCACTTGTACAGAGGTCAGCTGGTTGGCGGGGGCGGTTGCGGGACAGCAGTGGTAATCCAGAGACACACGGGTCACTGTTCCACTGCGCTGACACTCGGCGGACAACAGGAGGGGCGCACGACCCGGATCCTGAGAGGACACCTAGGGCAGAGTTCATTCAAAAAAAGCTCAGATCAAAAAAAAACTTTTTCTTATTTCTATGTCAACCTTAAAAGGAATAGTCTGAGTTCAATGCAAGTTAAGTTCAGTCAGCAGAATTTGTTGCATAAAGTTGATTAACAAAAAATTTAGACTTTCTCATTTTCTTTCCTGATTGAAATCAAGGTTACAGTGAGGCACTAATAATCTAATAGTCATTTTTGGGGGGATTTTAAAGCAGAAATGTGAAACTATTTTATACAAGCACTTACACTGTTTATATAATTTTATACACTGTTATAATTTGATACGAGTACTTTTACTTCGGGGGTTGGTAAGATTTTTTTATGTTTTTGAAAGAGGTCTCTTAATGTATGCTCACCATATTTATATGATCAAAATACAATAAAACAGCAATTTTGTGAAATAATTAAATATATATATTTTTAAATATTTTAAAATGTTCTTGTGATGTCAAAGCTGAATTTTCATCATCATTACTCCAGTCTTGTGTCACATGATCCTTCAGAAATCATTCTAATATGCCGATTTAGTGCTCAAGAAATATTTATTATCAATGTTGAAAACAGTTGTAGTGCTTAATATTTTTGTGGAAACCATGATACATTTCTTTGATGAACAGAAAGTTTTTTTGTAACAATGTAGAAGTCGTCAATATTAATCAATTTAATTACTTTCTTTTTAAAAATCTAAACCCAAACTTTGGAACGGCAGCGTACATTAATTCTTCGGTTAAAACATCGATATTATTTCAGCTGTTTAAATAATCATTTTTATAATCGTTTTAGGGTTTATGTCATCACAGCAACTAAAACAATTAAGCTTAACTTGTACTGAACACGGAATATTCCTTTAGGTATCAATAAAGCAGGTCATATTGTAATTCAAGCACTCATTAGGTTTGTGTTGACTGACCTGGTATTTTAGCAGAGCCACATTGTAATAGGAGGCCTGTGGGTTCAGCTCTGCCTCTCTCTGCAGGTGGAGCGTCAAGGCCGGCATGTTAAACCAGAAATCCTTGGTGTCCGGGTCACTCTGTGTCGGATCGCTGCAGGTACAAAGACCAAAGATGCTGTCAACAGAACTTGAATTAAACCCAGTGCAGGTCAGTTTTAGTGTTTAAGGGCATCATACCTGTAGAGTAACTTCTGGTTGGGTAAGAAGTGGTCCACTCGAGAGATGTTCACCAATCTGAAGCTTAATACTGGTGCGTTGGGGTTGGCGGTGAAAATGCGGATGATGCCAGCAGGAAAGGACATAGTGAGGTCACCGGTGATCTTAACCAGACAGCTGAAACCCAAACACACAAAAGGTTGGACAGCTAATCACTTTAAGTTGGAGCTACAGTGTGATAAAAGGCTTTGTCCTCCAGATGGGGTGATAGAAGCTCGGACGGACCAGTTGTGTTCTCCTCCTTTGAAGTAGGCATTGATGTACTCCGTGATGGCTGCAGCTACAGGCCAAGACTCCTGAGTACTCAGAGAAATGGGACTGGGCCCTCGGGACAAACCTGCAGGATCACAATTCAACATTACATTTAGAAATGTCCACAAAGATTTCAAACATAATTTTCAATAGAACATAAAACTTGTGACATATTTAACTTCATAACTTGGTTTGCCACTGTCGGTTCTGGGATTATGTGGAACAGTGGATAAATAAATGAATCAGCAATTGAATACCAAATAGGACTTCCTCTATATTAGATACATGCCCATGGGCTATCAGACAAAATCAGCCACGGCAAAACCGTGATGAGGACATTTCCTGACAGTCCCCTCCATAAATGTGCATGTGCATGTCTATATTAGATTAGCATAATAAAATTACAGCAAAGCTCCTAAGGCTGTTTCTCAGTGTAATATATGATTAAGTTCTGTGATAATGTGGGTGATTAGGGAAATAGAGGTGCCTCGGGTCACCTCGGGCTGGGCTGGGAACACGGTTCTGCACCCCCCATTCGCTGGGGCTGGAGGAGGATGAAGAGGTGAGGGGAGGACTGGGTTTAGGCAACGGAGACGAGCACAGGGACCTAGACTGAGACACACCACAGAAAAAGGGCCAAAATCAAAATTCTGAACTGGATTTACAGTACTTTCTGCAGTGTGCTACAGTGTACAATGGGATATGAAACTAAAGTATACAGTATAACATTCTTAATTTAAACATTTACAATATTTGATCATTTTTTGATTTTTTTTATAATTTATATATTTTTTTACAATTATCATACATGCAGATTTTTACCTCATATTAATTGGAAGACTACACGGGATAAATATTTTGTAATTTTTAAATACATTTTTCACACCACAGGACTATTTAAGTGAACAGTAGAAAAGCATAAATAAAAATAGACAGATAGATATATAGATAGATAGATCATAGATAGTTCATGTCCATGTTATCTGTTCACTCTCTATTTCTCCTTTCTACTGTGTGTGGATGGAAAACAAATGTTTTTGGGCTGAACAAACCACCAGAGGCCTGTTTCTATGTCCTGTAATATTATTTGTTACCTTACAGTATAAAACAATTAAAAGCTTGAAGTGGAATCTCAAGAGGGGTGTTAATTTAGAGCTGAAGTCAAGGGAGCAATTTGAATGACCACATGAGAGAAACTGCATCTCATAAAACAAGAGACAAATGAAAGAGGCTGCAGCAGAGCCCGATTAAGGGATTTGTTTATATGGTTTTAAAGAAGCTTAAGTGTGCTGATTGGATAGTTGGTGTAATAAAAGTCTGTGGAACATTTACCCGCTCACAGCCACTGAGCCTGCCTGCAGAGCGCTTGGGCCGAACCGACCGAGGGGGAGCCAATGCCAGACGCTCAGTGCTGTCCTGCCTGAAACCATGCTGGGAAACTGAGAGAGAGAGAGACAAGAGGGAAAATAAAGAACCCAAATATGAAAATTCTGTCATCATTTATTCACCCTCATGTCATACCAAACACAATTGACTTTATTCCATGGAACAAAACAATTTGAACAATATCTTGGCCACTTTTTTCAATATAATAAATGTGAAAGAGCACCATAAAAATGGTCTATATGACTTGTATGCTATTTTCCAAGACTTTAGAAAATTCACTGAAAATCATGACATTTGCCTGATTCATGAGAAAAGCAGAAATGTCTGATTCATAAATACTTGTATTTCTGAGATGGAAACAAATCATTAAATTGCTCTGAATGATTTGTTCACGCATCAAATGTGTGTGTGTGGATTTTGAGTTAACATTGTTAAAACAAATTCACTTCCACTGAAATGTTTGGGGGTCGGTAAGATTTAAAAAAAAAAGAAATCAATACTAAATAAATTAAAGTGATTACTGATTTATTTATTGCGGTTTCCGCAAAAATATTAAGCAGCACAACTGTTTAAAACATTAATAATAATAATAATAATAAACGTTTAAATGTTAAATGTGCGCACCAAATCAGCATATTAGCATGATTTCAGAAGGATCATGTGTCTTTTTGGTCAAATAAATGCAGCCTGGGTAAGCACAGGAAACATATTTGTAAAACATTTATAGAGATCCTACATACATTTTCAGCGGTAGTGTACATGTTTGTTTTTTGTCATCATTAAACAGTGGATCCAAAAAATAATTGGACACTTTTGGGCAAATGAATATCATTGCATTAGATGTAAAATATCAAATTAAGTGGCATCTGCAAACAACACATTTGTTAGATATTTGGCAATTATCTAGGTGTCCTAGCAGAGCAACCACCGGGATTCTTCATCATATTAACTATGACTATGTTTCTCTAATGACTGACAACCAGAAAATGTTTTTGTCTCTATTTTGAGTAAGATATTTATTAATTTAGAATTTGAAAACTAACAAGCTTCTTTTTGAGAAATGTTTTGCTTGAAAGATATGCTTGTGCTGCATTTCTTTAAAAATAAATGCCATTTTTAAGTGAGGGTTAATTGTCTTTACGTATTTTGGGCCAGTGTGTATTGGCATTATATCATGCACTCTGCTCTCTAAATATCAGTATCTGCATCGGCCAATAAAACACCATATTAGTCATACACTAGTCTATAATACCTGGATGTGTGTTAATATCCAGGAAATTCTGGTCCTTGTCTGTAGAGAAGCAGAGGTCCTCCTGTGGCCCAGAATGCCGTGTGAGTGGTGGTCCATTCCTTCGAGGCTCGTCGTGAAAAGATCTCTGTTTTCTGGTGGACTCTTGTGTGACAGTGTTATTTGTAGTGCCTTCACTAAAAGGGTTATGCACTGAGTTCCAGTGCACCAGCTCTTTCTTCGGCTGAGAACTGGGGGCGGGGTTAGGACTGGGCGTCGGTCTATTACTACTGGCTCTGCCTTGTGCAGCCATCTGCGCCGCCAGCGACGATTGGTGCGTTGGACTACCGATCATAGTAATAGCGAAAGGATCATCTGGGGACTCTGGAGGTGGGACGCTACATTCTCTTTTTCTGTCTCGGTCTTTGCGGGAGGAGGATGGGGGAGGGAGGGTTTTAGTGTCATTCAGAGAGATAGAAAAGGGATCGGTGCGGCCTTCCATGCCCCTGCCGTCCCTGGTGGGCCGAGGGGGAGGCGGGGCCCAGGCATCAGGTGGAGGCAGGTTGTCTTTGGGGGCAGAGTGTTCAAAAGCATCCAAGAAGGGGTCTTCTGGAGGAATGTGTTTACAGCTCCACACAGAGGGCTCCAGTTCTGAAGACGGCAGGCTGTGGGAGAAGGCCGGGAAGCTGAAGGTGGTGGGCTCGACGTTGGGTGGGGCCCGTGGAGAACGTAGATTGGAAGGCCAGGCTTTTGTGGGGTCATCCTGTGGAAGAGGAGATCGACCAAGTGAGGGGTCACTGAACGCAGTGAGGAAGGGGTCACAGGATCGGCTCAAGTTTACAGAGTCTTTAGATTGAGACTGAGTGGATGGCCAGGCTGCCCAACCGGTGGGCTCTGGGGAAGCCCCAAGGGGCTGATGGGATGGTGAATCTAGTCCAGAATCCTCCACATTCTCAGGAGAGGATGAATCAGAAGAGAAGGCTGCATCTGTCAAACATGAAGAAAAGTCTATTACTGATCAGAACAGAAATTTCTTTAAAAAGCAACAGACTGATGAGGAAAAGGCTGACTGCAGAAACATAATTCACATTCTACTTTGGTCCATAATTGAATAATTCATGCTTTAATGCCTACACAAGCAGTTCTGACAAAGCGAGTCAATTAATTCTTAGAATATGGTAATACACTCTTTGGCACACATTTGGCTAGTTTAAAGCTTTTAATTCTCAGATTTCTAAAATGCTCTAAGAGAATAACTCGTACAGTCGATTCTCATCTATCACGGTAATGTGGTTGGGGGTGGTGTGCTGCTGGAGATTTACATTCAGATGCAGCAAATGCCTTCTGGAGCTGCTCTCTGCCAGCAAAGCTGTGGGATTTAAAGGCCGACTCCAGAGGAGGTCCAAACAGAGCGTCCGAACCGGATGCTGTGGAACTCAGCCTGCAGAGATGAGAGGAAGGAAACTGAACGGGTGAAGAAGTGAATATAAGAGAAACTGAAGCCATTAAAATGCAGAATTAATAACAGAAATAATAGAAACAATAATTATTTAAATATATATAATAATAATTTAAATCCACACTAGTGTTAAAAGTTTGGGGTCTGTAAATTATTTTTCTTTAAAAGAAATTAATTCCTTTATTGAGCAAGGAAGCACTGGTTCGTGGTTTCCACAAATACATTAATACATAAATCAGCAAAAGTGTTCAACACTGATTATAAAAAAATGTTTCTTGAGCACTAAATCAGCATATTTGAATAATTTCTGAAGGATCATGTGACACTGAAGACTGGAATAATGGCTGCTGAAACTTCAGTTTTGCTATCACAGGAATATTTTAAAATATATTAAAATATAAAAGAGTTATTTTAAATTGTAATGATATTTCACAATATTACTGTTTTACTGTACTTTTGATCAAATAAATGCAGCTTTGGTGAGCATATAAATCTTCTTTCAAAAACATTGAAAACATTACTGGCTGCAAACTTTTGAATGGTAGTGTTTATAATCTAAATTATATAAATAACCTAATAAAGATGATGTACATCTAAATAACATAAATAACCTTTAAAATATTATAATCTATATACTTATAATATGCTAATAAAAATATATTTAAATTAAATAATTTGCAATAGTATTATTATTAAATAATTTTTTTAATTCAATTCAATTTTGAATTTGTATTTATTTATTAAACTGCATTTTTGTTCAGTTTGTCTTAACATGTTAACTTCTTGCTCAACCAATGGTGTGGGTTTGGGGTGAGACCAACAGTCAGCATTTAGCATTTATGCATTTAGTGCCACAAAAACTACATACTTCACCTTTAAATCTGCATTTTTGGATGTTAAAGTGTTCAGTTATTATACTGTATGGAAAATCTTTTTGTACCTGCTGTGATCTGGGCTGGATGTGGATCTGCGCAGACCCTCCTGTTCTCCATCTGTAAAAAAACATTACTCTGCTGTGCAATATAACAATACCATACAATAATAAATTAAGGGGTCATTTAGCAGATGCTTTTATCCAAAGTGGCTTACAGTACACTTACTATAGGGATTCTCCCTGAAGAAACATTAGGTTAAATGCCTTTCTCATGGCCACAATAGTGATAGTGATGGTAACCAGCCTAGACGTTTAACCATTATAACACACCCATAATACATAACGTACAGCATATAATAGCACAGTATAATATTACCGGATAAAAACTATATACAGTGGTGTGAAAAAGTGTTGGCCCCCTTCCTGATTTCTTATTTTTTTGCATGTTTGTCACACTTTAATGTTTCAGATCATCAAACAAATTTAAATATTACACAAAGATAATGCAAGTAAATACAAAATGCAGTTTTTAAATGATGATTTCATTTATTAAGGGAAAAAAACCTGTCCAAACCTATGTGGCCCTACGTGAAAAATTAACTGTTGAATCATGAAAGAACTGTAATTAACCACATTATTTTAGAAAGCTGAGTTAAATTTCACTAGCCACACCCAGGCCTGATTACTGCCAGACCTGTTGAATCAAGAAATCACTTAAATAGAACCATTAAAAAACGGGAAGGGGGCAAACACTTTTTCACAGCACTGTACATTTTTCATCAAAAATTATTCAAACCATGAACTATCAAAATAGTAGCATTAATCTATGTGACTAGTGTCTGCAATTAAGCAGGTTTGAGTAATAGTGAGCCACATACACACACCATATTGTTTCCACTTTTGCTATTATTGTCAAAACCCACAATACAAAAACAGAGCTCATTCTGAGACTGAGATCAGGCTGTCAGTATAAGGCAATAATGACAGTGCAGTTATGACACTGATCCCAGGTCAGCTGGATGGCAGATTGCTGTGATTAAGGTGTCAAATGGAGCTGTGTTTGTGGGATAATGACATCTAATAATGTGGACAGAGGAGGATGTAGGACATTCTGTGTGTGTGACTGTGGCCATTTGAGATGGCTTGTCGAAATTAGTCGCAGGTACAATGCATGAGCACTGAAAAATTAATGATCTACAGTACGATGTAACTCTAGCTGAATGAGTACAGAAGAGGACGTCTGCGGAGTGTGACAGACCTCTCTGGGGAACACTTTCCCCTTCCCCTTCAGATCGACCTGCTGAACTGGAGTTTCCTGTAACAGAGGAATGGGACACATGAAAAATATTCACACTTACACACATACAAAAAAATATTCACACTTACACATACATAATATAATCTGAGATATAGAGGGGAATACAAGTTAACTTACGTGAGAGCTGCTTCTTTACTGACACCTTCACAATGGGACGAATGAGAGGAGGTACAATTTTAATCAATGTTGTGCACAATATTTTTAATGACATCTTTAAAAAGAGAGAGTAAAATGTAAAGATGCACAAACTTCGCACAATATCTTCTGTATCTTCTTTATTTTCCTAACCAACCAATATGACAGCAGTCATGGACTTTATTCTCTTGCACATTAATCATTTTGTTTTAATGTACTATGTGTGGATTTTCTGAATAAACTAGACATAGATACTCTAGACAAGAAACATTATTTTTCAAAGATTTGATTACACTAAAAACCACAACTTTTGTCAGTTTTTTGTTTTTGCTCAAAAGAGCTAATTTTAGCAGTCTGGCACCTTGTAAACATGACTTTGTTTGCAGGCAAACTACTAAAATCCTGTGCAACCTGACTTGTGGAAGTTGTGAGTGTTATTTGACTAGTCTTTTGATCTCATCATGTAGAATAAAACAGCTTTATATATATATATACAGTATATAACTGTAAAATAAATCTCTTAAAACCACCTGCATCAGTCTTACTTAAGATATTAAAGATTAAATACTGATTTAATCTTTAAATCAGTATTTAAAGATTAAATAAATACTTTTATTTAATCTTTAATAAAAACCCCACACCTCTTACCGCTCTGTTAGGAGGCAGGGTCAACGCCCCCACTGTGGCCTTCAACTCCATTTCATTGGCTGCTGAGTTACTACGGTTACTGCTGGCAACCGGTCGGATCTGGATGTGAAACTTCTTGGGTTCATCATCATCGAAATCCGAGTCGCTGGAGTAAAAATTTCCCTCCTTCTCCTCAGCAGCACAACGTAGAGAGCAATGCAGTTAAGGAGCAAATCCAGACACGATGCAGGATACATATGTACTCGCACACTGGTACAATGAAAACACACACGGACACAAATAGACATGAGTGCAAACACTCACACAAACACAGCTGTTCTGAATAGTCTACAAACTGTGGTGAGGTACAAAAATAACCATCCTATTTAGGGACGCTACTGAGTTTCAAATCCTTAAACACCCCTCATGACGAACTTCAATTCACAGGAACCTAAGATTGACAACAGATCTGTCACAGGGTATTTGGGGAGAAATTGTTATTGGGCAAATCCATCACTGTTTATTATCAGACAATACAAATGTCTCTATTTCACATCCTGCCTTATCAAACCACACTTCCTGACAATAACTTCCTTTCTATCTGTATGTGATACTTTTGATGGTGTGTGAAGACAGTATTGCGGAAAATAGCAATAAAAAACAAACAAAGAAGGCAATTAAATCCCTCTCCTCTCCCTCTGTTTTAGACCACATGGATGAGGTCTGAGAGTGAAAATAAGTTTTGGTAAAATTATTTGTTGTAGTGCTGAGAATATACTTCCCAATCCTCAAATATCTACAATAGGGTCCAAAAGTCAGAGGCCAAGTTGGAAATCAGGGATTTAACATCTAATTTAAACCTGAAATTAAACTTTAGGATTTCAGAAAGCTTTATAATTTTTTTGTTTAAAATAAAATGTTATGACATAAAATAAATGAAAAATACTTAGGATTCTATTTCTAGGTCATTCATCAAATAAGCAGACTACTGACTTTTGTACAGATAAGGGACCGGGACAAGACCACAGGAACCAGTTGAGTCCTCTGCACAATGTGACATTGCTGCTGTAAGGTCAAAATGTATCAAAGACTTCTGCTTTCCTGTCCCAAACCTATCTTCAGTAACAAAAGGGCCATTTGGCATTCCTGAAGGCACAGAGGTGCTGATAGTGATCAAGGCCTGTAGGCCAACATGTGTATACATCGGGGGTCTGCTAATTGTCACACCTTTTGCCCAGTGGGTGAAGTTGTAATCTGCTGATTGAATCATGCTGGATCACATGATTATCAGGATTTACACAAACTTGTGGAGGTAATGAAGCTTGAGTTCTGCTGTCAGCAGAAGAGAGACAAACTGAATACTAAGATATTTTGAATTTCATTTCAATTTCTTCAAGTCAATCTGTAATGAAATGTTATGAAATGAACTGAAGCATGTTTACTAGTTATATCAGCCCCACTGTCTGCATATACACAGTTATGCACATACACACACACTGTATACTCTCACTACATCCACTCCTGATGGCTTATTCTGAAGGATATCATTCTGGTTGGCATCTGCACGTATCACAAAGCCCTCGTTGTCCACTTTGAGGGGTGAGTTCTACACACAAGCACAAACAGACAGCACAAGCTCACAATAAGAAACAACATTTAAAGGCACAGGACATAAGATGACAGAGTGATGATTCTTTGGAGGTCTGTAACATGGATGTGGTCTGTCTTTCACTCATAAACACGCTAATGCTGTTGCCATGGCTCATATGAAAACAGTGCCGATGTTTTAAGAGAGTTAGTAATGGTCTGACGTCTTGCATAACAGCCCGTAACACATGTGTGTTTATGAAGGATTTTGGCAGTCAGTGGGCTATATCAAACATTCATTAAACACCCTGAGTATTGCCAAGGTTAAATATAGCTTCATGAGGTAACCAGACCTTGCATGTCACTCTCTCTTGCATAGCGTATACACACAGAAGTCTGTGTAGAAAAAGAGTCTTCATTCTGTGTACAGTATGTGTCTGTTTACTTCTGGAGGAGGGTTTACTTAGCTATTTTAAAGGACAAATTTGTCCTCCCAAATTTGTGAAAAATGAAATTGTTCATAACAAAACATGCAATTAACAATTTTGGTATAAATTATATTCCAATAAATAAAACATAAAAACATCTCTGTCTTTAAGATATTCTCACTATTATAGCATCTATGGTTTATGTATATATATATATATGTTAGTAAACTAACAACTGGTTTGAGATGAGACTTTTTTAGACGGTCTAAAAAGTGTCACAGAAGTTTAATCAAGAACAGCTGATGATACAAGACCAGTAACCACACACACACACACAATCACCTGTTCTCTGTGTAAAAACAATTCAGCAAAGAGTGTGTGTGTATGTGTGTGTGTTATGTGAACTCACAAGTGCATCTGCCACAGCTGAATCTCTAGAGGACAAAAACAGAAGAGGTATGAAAAGCCATACAGTAAATAAAAAGAATTGGTCACTGAAAAACGAACTATGAATGCTCTCAAAGTCTATTACAGGCCTGATCTAGAACATTAAATGTGTTGCGTTTCATATGAATGCATGACTCACGTTGAATCCGGTTCCTTGTCTTTCTTTCCCAGTCCAGGGATCCTGAAGGCTTTAGCACGACTCTTTTTACTGTTCTCAGACACTAGTGGGGACAGATATTCCTCGAACCCTACTGGACCTTATCCACACACACAGTAGTTTAAGGAAGGTTTGGAGCTGAGCAGCACATTTGTAATTCACTATATGACAAATGATAAAACCTTGTATTTTGCAGAAGAATGATTTTCAATGCATTGCTATCCAATAAAACAGAAATGCAATTCCTGGGGAAATTGTTTTATCTTTCTGTGACTCACCCGGTCTCTCCTTTCCTGTTCCCTTCTGGTCTGTAAACTTCTGAATGAGGTTCTCAATGCCAATGTTCTCCACGTTCTGCTTAAATTCCTCATGGACCTGAAGGAGGTTCATGAGGACCACATTGACCAGAACAACTCTTGAGCCACGGGGTAATTCATCTGAACAACTACAGTATGCAAACAGAATATAGGAGTAGGTAAAATCTCCAGAGTGAGCCATACCTGCCCAACCTGTACGTGTGTGTCTTCAATGGAGTGGGAATACGCTTTGATCAGTAGTTTCATCTGACGTAAATGAGCCTCCTCAATGTCCTGAAATTTCTGCAGATGTAGAAGGACAAATGTAAAGAGAAGCTACTGACCTCTACTGACTTACACTGCAGTTTAAAAGTTTGGTGTTGGTAAGACTTTAAAAAAAAATTATCTTACCAAGGCTGCATTTATTTAATCAAAAACACAGTAAAATATTAATAACAATTAAAAAAATATATATATATTTATTTACCAGACATTTTTGGTAACAATGTAAAAGTATTTTTTTTTCTCTAAATTTTATGCATCCTTGCTTAATAAAAGCATAATTTTCTCAAACTTTTGAACAGAAGTGTATATATTGTGAATATTTACAATATAATATGGCCTCAACCTTCTTATTGCATTAAAGAAATAAAAGAAGAACAGATCTGATATATCTTTTAAAGACAGTTAAATTGTAAAACATACATCTATTTTATAAAATAATTATATAACTTCACTGCCTACTTTTAGTCATTACAGTCTGATATTAATGACATTTTTTAAAGCAAAATCAAGCCAAAAATCTTCTGAAAGTTGTTTTAATATTTTACCTTCTGTGTTATAGTTTTATTTTTAAATTATATTTTGTACTTTTTAGGACTGTTTAGATAATCCTATTTGTAATTAGGAACAACAGAAAACTGAGTACATGTGTGAATAATACATGTGCAAAATAAGGATTTTTTTTTGTCTGACATTGATGACAAGTCAACAGATGGAGCTGAAAAGCATTTTATTAGGCTGTACAAGCATATTTGCTAATTTTATTTGGGATCTCTGTAAATCAGGACCTTATATTTAAACTTGCTGAGTTTAAATAGAACTGGCCCTGGCATTTAATAGTGGTCAGCCTCTATAATTTAAAGATTATTGCTGATGCCCTAATTTAGGGATACCACGACTCCGTTGCTCTCAGTGATGTCAGGACTCTTACATTTTACTGATTCATCCTTTCTTTGCTCTCAAATTATTCATACTTGCAGGTCGACACCAGGCAGAAATAGACTAGGCATGTAATCATTTTGTCAAACAGACTGCTTTAATGGCCCTTGTAGCCATGGTAACTTTACATTGCTTTATTGAGCTCATTGAAATACTGTAAATTTTGCTCTGAAGGTCTAGATTATGAGAACTAGTGAGCTAACCCCTGCTTTAAAAATGTTTCACACATGCGACTGTGGTATGTGCTTATGCCCTTAGCAGGGCTGGAAAAAATCCTGAAAAATCACCAACCTGTGCTGATTCACTCATTTTCTGTTCAAAGTCTCTTCCAGTACGGTTAAACTTCTCAATAGACCCTGCAAAAGACCCAGCTGCCTTCTTAGATTTCAGCTCAGCCTGAGAAAAGAGAGAGAGACAGATCAATATGTGTGTGTATATATATATATATATATACGGTATATATATATATATATATATATACAAAAGAAAGTTAGAATTTTAGCCTTAATTTTTTTAAGATGACAAAAACAGGATGAAGGCTACTATCTTAAAGGATTAGTTCAACCAAAAAAACTGCCCTCATGTCATTCCAAACTAGTATGACTTTCTTTCCTTAGTGGAACATAAAAGGATACTTTTTGAAGAATTTTTTCTATGCTTTCGAGCGTCATTATTCTGAAAAAACATTGGCCTGCGTCTATGGCGCATTCAAGAGAAAGGTAGTGACAGCTGCTTCGTTAGCAGTTTGTTAACAATCAGTTTTAATGAACCAGTTGATGTGGTTCACAAATCAGACTGATCCAGTTCCCAAGTCAAACTGGTCATTTTATCTGTAAATAACTTAAAATCGCATAGACTACTTGCATGTTACTTCTATGGTGCTTTTGTGTCCTTTTTGAGGTTTACAATGACCTGAGGGTGTGTAAATGATGACAGAATTGACATTTTTGGACTTTTAAGTCTTCTCTCTCAAACACAAACACCTTTTCCAGCTCTTTCTGAGGCACTCCTTCTTTGCGCAGTCTCTCCAGCTCTACACACTTGCTGTGATAGCCTTCTCTGGCCTTCTGCAGGTGGGTGTTCTGCACCTGAAGAGACTGCACTGACTCCAAAGTCCCGATCACTTCCTCTTTCGTCTACATAAGACACAACATATTTAAATAAACAACAGATATTAAGCACAAATTTAGAACCCAGTGCACTCATTCTGAAATGCTGTAAGGGATCGGAAATGATCAGAGACATGCACAGAAATTCTATCAGGCTAAAAGGCCTTCATTTACCTTGCGGTGAATTTTGACCTGCTCCTCGCTGTACTTGTTGATGTCACGGATAAGGTCATTCATCTTCCTCATGAGCTCCAGGTGGCAGAGGGCCAGTTTGTCCGAGGACACGCGAAACACGTCCCACATAGGGGCGAACGTGCTGGGGAGCAAAGCAGGTGGTAAGACGCTGATGTATGGGAGTGCGTAAGCCGCTCGGATTTCTTATAGCACAGCAGTATTAGAAAAACAACAGGCTTCCTCGCCTTTGTAAGTCTACTTCTCCTGACTCCCCAAGACACCCAAAAACAAAGTTCATTTAAAAAAAAGGTAATTTTCTATAAGCTTTGTATTTGTGCTCTTAATTATTTAAACAGTTTGGCTGTATACCCACTTTGCATCACTGCAAAGTCTGTTTTTACAGTGTTAAAGCACTGTGTGCTTGTTTTGTGAGAACTTGCACACGCAGACAGGAAGTGAGGTGAAGAGAACAGAGGAAAGAGCTAACCATAGCAAAGACTTTTTGACCAATTACACACAACCGCACGTACTTGTACACAAAAATACACACATACAATCCTCTTGAATCTCCCTGCTGATAAGTATCTGTAAGGCAGCAGTAGGCCAAACTTTTCAAGAGTAAAATGTTTAATGTTTTGTTCCTCTCTAGATGACAAAATCATATGGTAATAGTGATTTTCAACACATGATACCTTAAAGTCCAAAACTGTTACCTACTCTGGTCAATAGTGCCTGTAAAATGTCAAAACCTAATCTCATAATTACAGGAATAATGTTACTCACCCGAGAGGGCTTCCATTGCTAGCAATCTTGGCCAGTTTGCTCATGGATTTCGAGTAAGTCTCCTCGATGGCCGCCCTTATATGCAAACACAAACACACACAGCGTGTCAGCCGGTAATAGATTCGCTTACAAACACAAAAGCAAATATACTTTCACATTAAAGTGATTTAGCACCAACAGTTCTTCGATGAAAGTTGCTAGGCGTATATATTTGTAATGGTGCACACACTACATTTGTATGGTTTCGTACATGGTACGTTTTTGTAAGGGAAACCATGAGTGACTTTAAAAGCAACCATTAGGACAAAAACCCCTCAAAAAGTGTGAGAAAACACACAGTAGTTTTCCAAATTGTCACGGCCAAAGCTGAAAAGACCAAATATTTCTTATCAACCACTATGTGATCTGCTTCTCCGATAAGCCATGCTTTTTTGTTCTGACTTCAGAGTCTGCTCATGGGAAAAAGGATGTTGTCATTATCATCCCAGTCCGTCAAACTATATTGTTGGCCTTATCTCTTAGAAAACATCTTATTTGATTCTTATAAGTGAAATTTTGCTTTCTGTTGGGACAGCACAATGAAAAGTCAAGTCAGATTCTTCAAGGAGCACAGCCACTTTGAGGCACAATGTCCTGAGTGGATGCAAAATGGCCTTTGAAAATTGATTTATGCAATTTATTGCACAAGCTATGCTTTTATCAGGGACCTATTTGTCTCTCTCACTTTCTCAGCACTCTCCTCCAGGGCTTTCGTGGACAGATTTCTAACATAAAAAAAAATACAATTTAATCCTCCAGTCCATGACTGAGAGTGCCTGCATCCAGCTCCATTATAACGGATTGAAAAGACTATGAAAGTTGGCAGGAGGCTTGGCGGAGCTGTAAATAGTTTCTGTTCTCTCTGCAGAACGAGAGAGTCATTTTGGAGATTTCATTTTAATTATTGCAATTAGCTCCAACTCAAATGTCTACTACAGACCAAAAGGAATGCTCACACATCCCACATATGCTGTCAGTGGAACGGTGAAATGAAGATCAAGCTATTTATGCAATTTATTGCACAAGCTATGCTTTTATCAGGGACCTATTTGTCTCTCTCACTTTCTCAGCACTCTCCTCCAGGGCTTTCGTGGACAGATTTCTAACATAAAAAAAAAATACAATTTAATCCTCCAGTCCATGACTGAGAGTGCCTGCATCCAGCTCCATTATAACGGATTGAAAAGACTATGAAAGTTGGCAGGAGGCTTGGCGGAGCTGTAAATAGTTTCTGTTCTCTCTGCAGAACGAGAGAGTCATTTTGGAGATTTCATTTTAATTATTGCAATTAGCTCCAACTCAAATGTCTACTACAGACCAAAAGGAATGCTCACACATCCCACATATGCTGTCAGTGGAACGGTGAAATGAAGATCAAGCTTTCTTCATCTGTTTTATATGCTGCATGTACAGCATTTTCTGACTGCTGAGCTGCCTTGCATTTGTAGACGTGTGCATGAGTGGACAGTGAACACTTTGTTGACTGCTCTGCTGTTCTCAGGCTAGTGTGTTTTGACACTTCAGTGCTGTGTGCTGAAAAACAGAACTGTGGTGTGGAGAAATCGACCAAAGAGCAAAAAAAATATTAAAATAATAAAGATCTGATCAAAAAAAGATATGCCATACAATAAGAATCAATGATATCAGTTAAGATATCACATTACATTATACTATGCTATGTTTCGTTTGTACTATAATATAATATGATACAATGTAATAAGATCAAATAAGACAAAACACTGCAATAACGTAACATTGCAATATTGTAACAACATAACATAATGTAAAATATCAGACAAAGCATTACACTATGACAATATAATAGAGCAAAGGAAAATGTAATGTAACATTAAATAATATGATCAAATAAGACAAAACATCACAATAACGTAATGCAGCATAATGTAATGTAACATTATACAGTAAAACATAAGACAAAACATTACATTAACAACGTACTGTAGGAACTGTAGGAAAATAAATATAACATCATATAGTAAGATTATATAAGACAAACCATCACAAAAATGCAATGTATAATAATAATAACGTAGCTAAGACATAACATTACAGTAACAATAAAGTACAGAATATCATGAAACATTAAACAATAAGATGAAGTAAGATCAAATAAGACAATAATAAATATAACAGTATTACATAACATTAAAATCAAATAAGACTTAACATTGCAGTAACAAGGTACAGTATAATGCAGCATAACATTATTGAAACATCCTAACACGAACATTCCACTTATCATTTCACTTTAAAAACACAACTGCTACTGCAGAGTTAGAAACACAAGAAGTGAGGAGTAGAAAAGGAGTAGAAAACAAATTTCACGTCACATTCCTGACAGTACCAGTTACACCATCTCACCCCTCCTCCCCATCACCATGACGACTCCTCCCAAAACAACACCTCACCTCTCACGCACAAACTCAGCCAACTCTTTGGTGGCGATCTGTCCATGCTTCATGTTGTGGTAGAGAATGTCGAAACCTGCATTCTTCTCTCCCTGTGAACAAAGAAAAACACCAACATAAGGTACATTCCTGCAGTGTGTGTAAAAATGATTAATCATCAGAAACAAATAAGTGTTAAAATAAAAATAGCAAGAGGAACTTGGAAGATTGGACTGCTGACTGTGGGCCGTTGATTACAGCAGGCACAAAATACAGTATGCTCCTCTACAGAATGTCAGCATTTGTAATTTGTCATTTCTCAGTTTATGCTATATAAACGAGCTTTCATGAAGCTGATTGAGGTCCAAAACTGGTTCAAACACACACTAATTCTTTGTAACATCACTACCTTCACGTCTCCTTGAAGATGTCTCAAAATCACAGTGCAGTGTAGTACAGTGAAAATAACAACAAAACAATATCACAGAAGTGTATGCAAGACATGTCACGTGAGCAAGGAGAACAACACACACAGATTTCCCTCAAAGACCAAGGCCCAGTAGGGAGATCCTCAGATGATAACCTTTGGAACAAAGCAACGGTACATCCTGCGGTCAAAGTTAGCAAGTATAAAAATAGCCCCCTTTCTTTGAGCAAACAGAAAACTGTCAACAAAGGAGAGACAGAAAGAGATGACAGAACCAGGGCAGTCACTGGCCATAAATACCTCCACACCATAGAAAGAACTTCCCAGGTTAAAAAAAATTGACAAAATTCCTACTATCCAAGGATAGAATCTGGAGAAGCCAGAACATATACCAAAACAAAAGCTGCTTCTAACTACTCGGTATTAACGTGTCTCCTACCAAGATAGCGGTTGCTAAAGCGACAGGGTTCCCCTGGTAACTGTAAGAGAGTGGGACACATATGACGGCTTATTCCATAAGGTGACAGGCATACGTGTGTGTCGGTGATAGAGAGAGGCTGAAGTATTCCTTCTTGTTAAAAACAAGACCCAAGGCTGTTAAAAAATTCAGTTTGACCTCTCCTCTCAGGAAGTGGCACTTGTGAAGGGTGAAAAGCTAGTCTACACACAGATGGACATCTTTGGTCATTGTGTTTCATCCTGTGTAGTTTTTTCAGCATCTCAGCAACATAATTATCTGATCACAACCGATTCACCCAGATTACCTTAGCAACCATTCAGATCACTCTAACAACCTAGCAACACCACCCAGCCCCCCTGGCAAAACTTACATTTTCTTCAGAAAGTGCACAACTTTGAAATTATAAAATTTTATTTTAAAACATAAAAATTCTACATTTTATTTATATAAAAATAATATTAATATGTTTTAAAAAACCCTATTAACTAATCTGTGACTAGATGGGAGTCTCATATGTTTGAGAAAATAATAATAATAAACTTTATTCTTAGAACTTCTTTCGCACAAGAATTAAGTACTTTACAATAAAAATCAGTACCGAATCAAAATAATTCTCAGTGAATTCCTTTTCCTTTTTTTTCATCATCATTTGCATCATGATGAGAATTTTAATGTTATTTGATTATATTTGATTGTTCGCTCATTTCTCAGAACTCCATGCAGAGGTGCTGTAGTGTTAAAAGACTTAAAATACTGCTGACTGTACATTAAAACACACAAACACACACACACATGGCCCAGACCTGTCACCTCTGAATATAATGAATAACTGCATTTGCTCTTAGGTGAGAGAGGGAAAACACTGACTGACTTAAAGTACATCATGCTCATCATGTGGTCCATTGGAGATGGAGACAGGACTAGACACTGACTTGAGGAATTCTCTCACGAGACTGAAAAATAGATTGTTTAAAATTAAATTAGTGCTTGCTACATGTTGTAGATGGTTACTTTCATGCACAAGCAAAGCCCACCCGCAGTCACAATATGACAGTGGAAACTGATGGATCATGACCTAAAACACAAATTAATGGGGACGAATACACGAATCGCTCAGTAGCCATAATATATTGAAAGAAAGACACTGTTAAGTGTGTGCTAATTAAGTAACAAATTCTACTATTGCAATACTATTATAAAAGAATGGCTCATTAATATTTATTATGAATAATTTTGAATAATACATATTCCTGAACCTTATTTTTAAATACGTAATTATATTAAGTTACATGACTGAACACTCCTGGAAGGTTACTAAGCAACGTGATGACCAAATTAATATTCATACACTATACATCAATTTCACAATAAACCTTAATTATAAAAATGTGGTCAATGCATAAATGAATATTTAAAAAATATATCAAACTGAACACAATATCTCAGTATGAAATTTAATTTGTGTCTAATGTTGGATTTCTGATAGTACTACTATATAAGTTCATGAGGTCTGATTGGGCAGCATATTTCACTCGCACTGGTGTGGTCTGTGGTTTTACAGGCAAAGGCAAGAAAATACACGCTCTGTAGAGTCCTGGGCTACGGTCATGCTTTAAACAATTTTCTAGACCAAACTCTCATCTTCCAAAGCTCCAAAGCCACAAACACTTTAATGTGAGACTGAGATAATCCGCATCCTACCTCACAAAACTGAAACAGAATGAAACAAAATGAACTGATTAGGCTGCTAAATGAGCTCTCTGTTGTGCGACAAACATCTGACAGCCTGCTGAATGCTCTGTTTTCCATCTGAGGAAGAAACAGATTGAAGACAGTTGTAAGGATGAAGATGCACAAGCTAAATAAGGAATGTGCTGCTTAATCACTGCGATTGCGAATTCCCTCTCGGAGACTTAATTAATCATGCATTTTCAGTAATTACCCAAATGTGTCGTCTCAGTCATTTCACACCGGTGTTTTTATTCATTGCTGCAGAAACCATCAGAGAAGGATGAACACACACAACAGACGAACACACACAATTATGATCACATTATATGCAAACACACAGACACATATTAGAATGACAATGAATTTCTTTACAGTCAACATGAGAATTAGTGTTTTAAATACATTTGACTTCTGATCACCCTAACAACCATCCAGATCACCAGAATAACCACCTAGAAACATCATAGCAAAAATATAAAAATAAAAATACTTTTAAACTATAAGAAACACAGACAGTCTTGTTCGATACTCACAATCAAGCTTAAATGAATGCTAAATGCCCTACAACATTGTTCTTGTTCTTTTACAGTACTCCATGCCTATTTTGGCTGTGTGAAAACTTGTATGTACAGCACTCTCCATCCGATTCCTGAAACAAATGACTGGATATTATGGACTGGATATATTATGAGTTGGATATTTAATGAATGAATATTTAAAACTGATTAGCGGTTTGAAGCGGTCAGTCTGAAATACTGCTATGCAGAAATTAACACATTACCAGAGAGAGAATTTCTTTCTCTATGTAATGTAAAAAAAATTACATTAGAATTGCAATATGATCAAATGAATCTGAACTGAATCAAATCAAAATTCAAATCAAACTTTTCAGTACCGAATCAAAATAATTCTCAGTGAATTCCTTTTCCTTTTTTTTCATCATCATTTGCATCATGATGAGAATTTTAATGTTATTTGATTATATTTGATTGTTCGCTCATTTCTCAGAACTCCATGCAGAGGTGCTGTAGTGTTAAAAGACTTAAAATACTGCTGACTGTACATTAAAACACACAAACACACAAAATATAAAAATAAAAATACGTGTGTTCATGAATCAAGCACAAAAAGACCAAAATGTTTATTAAAGTAAAATGAGTCACTTTGATTTCATGTTGATTTTAAAAACTGCTTTTCAGAGTAACAGAAAATAGTGAAGGACAGAACATCTGCATACGTCTGCATGAGTGATGAGGGGGTCAGAGTGAATAATAGTTCTGCATGGATGCTTTGGAGTTTGGGGTGGGTTGGGGGGGAGGAGGGTATGGGGTTTACACCAGCTTTGTGTAAGAACACAATAGTGAAGGTCTCTGCATCTACCACAGTTCTGCAACACAAAGCCAGACAACTGAATAACCTCGCTGAAACCGGTCAGCAGACCAAAGGCTGCAACCACACAGAAGAACACAGTAGAGGAACTCAAAAATAAAACCTCAGTCAAGACAACAAATGAAAGAAGGGCTGTTCAGATTAAACATAGCGGTGCTCCATACATGTGTTCATGAATCAAGCACAAAAAGACCAAAATGTTTATTAAAGTAAAATGAGTCACTTTGATTTCATGTTGATTTAAAAAACTGCTTTTCAGAGTAACAGAAAATAGTGAAGGACAGAACATCTGCATACGTCTGCATGAGTGATGAGGGGGTCAGAGTGAATAATAGTTCTGCATGGATGCTTTGGAGTTTGGGGTGGGTTGGGGGGGAGGAGGGTATGGGGTTTACACCAGCTTTGTGTAAGAACACAATAGTGAAGGTCTCTGCATCTACCACAGTTCTGCAACACAAAGCCAGACAACTGAATAACCTCGCTGAAACCGGTCAGCAGACCAAAGGCTGCAACCACACAGAAGAACACAGTAGAGGAACTCAAAAATAAAACCTCAGTCAAGACAACAAATGAAAGAAGGGCTGTTCAGATTAAACATAGCGGTGCTCCGATTGATCAGATACCGATCGCTATCGGTTGATAATAACTTTGGGAAGTTTGATTGGCGGTCTCTATAAAGGCCGATCTCAAACTGACAACGTGCAGTGAATCGTGAACAGCGTTAGTGAATCACCGCATGCTCTCTCTCTTTCCCTCTCAAAATGTGCAAATGGCTTTAAATCAACTAATTATATTAAATTAATATAACCGGAAGCGTCACGAGCGTTTCAGTACGAGTATTACACAAAACCGCGCGTCTGCGCCATTCATTAACACAGAGACACGCAGAATTCATATTTAAATATGAATCGTTTTGCGGCTTAATATTTACAAATACTAGTGGGAGTGGGCTTACTTGTGTGTGTGTGTGAGAGGGCGCGCATCGGGCGGAATTTTTTTGGGAAGATAAAGGTCATTTAATATTACAATTAAAACATTGAAGAAATATTGAATGCTTATTCCTTAAAAATAAGGTTTTAATAATTTTAGTAGTAGTAGTAGCAGTCTGTTACGTACATTCTACTCAACAATAGTAATATATTTCTGCCACAATGCCCTCAAGTTAAACCGAACTTTTATTTTGACGGGTTGCCGTGAATACCATTACATTTCTGTGTGTGTATGATATGAGGATAGTTTTACTCAAATGAAACGGTCAAATGCTGATGAAGTGCCTCTCAGAGCAGTTCTGGAGATGTTGTTCATGTTTTATGTCCTCATTAGTGAGACGGCAGACGTTAATATAACCGGAAGCGTCACAAGCGTTTCAGTACGAGTACTACACAAAACCGCGCGTCTGCGCCATTCATTAACACAGAGACACGCAGAATTCATATTTAAATATGAATCGTTTTGCGGCTTAATATTTACAAATACTAGTGGGAGTGGGCTTACTTGTGTGTGTGTGTGAGAGGGCGCGCATCGGGCGGAACTCCGCTGTGCGTGATACAGAGAGCGCGACCATAACTTAGAGACTGAAATGACACGCCGTCGTGTAAATAAGATAAATAGCATAAGGCTATTTAGTTTGCTTAATGAAAGAATAATGTATAGACCTGTTCTATAAGAAAGGTAACTTTAAATGACTTCTGTTGTGATCTGGCGCTATAGAGAAAATATAATTAAATAAAATTAACTTGACCTTCAAGGGGGGCGGGGGGTGCCGTTGGATGGCAGGGGAAACACTGCACTATAAACGAGCTGCATGCTGCACAGTTGACACAGGAATTGTCACTTGCACAATCGAGGCAGTGTTGCATCGTCACTTAAGGTTAGAATTTGCATTTCTTTTTAAGTCTGGCCAGTGTTTAAACCATTCAGCACTCCGTGCTCTTCTAGAGATGGTGCGCTGATGCACACTCAAAGTGCACACACATAAGGCAGCCTCACATCCAGCTCACGAAATCAGGCCTGTGCTGTGTGTAAGCTATTGTGCAGCAACTGCCCCATTGTAAAAACAAAATGCACTGCATGATCAAACATTCAGGTGAGATAATTATATATTTTTAAAAAATGTCAACAAAAAATAAAAAAGCCCCCTACCTCCACCCCTCAAATTAAAAAATACCCCCACAAGAGTCACCTAAGAGGGCAATTCCCCCCATTTTCAAAAACGAAATTCAAGCCCTGAATGAATGTCTGTAAAAATCCTGATTGGAGCATCACTATAAATAATTCTACATGATAAAAAGAAGGCTTAAAAAACATTGGTGATCGGTGATCATATTGGCAGATACTGCTTCCTGTGATCGACGATTGGTGATCGGCTCCAAAAATCCGGATCGGTGCACTCTTATTTAAACAGGATCACGGTATGCCGTTTACTTTCAAGTGATGTTTAGAGGCAGGCAAAAATGCCACATTACAACAAAAGTATCTCTAAAACTAATCTGATGGCACAGATGTTGTAAATTCCTTTAACATATGGACGACTTTATCTGGTAGGAAGGCTTCCGTACTCTTATAATGTGGCCTGTATTCAGTAGCAGTGGTTCCTCAACGTTCTGCCTTGATTTCCCCCTCTCTTCTCCCTCGTTCTTTGACAGCAGGCTGGGTATTAAAGTAGGACACACCTGAAATAGCCTTGCCAGGTTTGCTGAAAGAGCAGAGCACGGCTGTCCTCGTGGGAAAGCTGACAAAGCCCTGGCCCTCTGCTTTTGTTCTCACTTTTTACTCTCTTTGTTCTATCCTCACTCCATCCCTCCTTCATACTTTCAATGATGCGACTAAAACAGTCAGCATATGAATCCCAAACTGCTTACAAGGCAACTGTACCAAACATTCACTGAGTAAACATTTGCTCTTACTGTACTGCTACAAAGCTGAAACATTAAAAACCCCATCGCATAAGAAATGTGACAGACTTACCCAAAAATTATTCTTGAAATATGGCATCTCCATTTAGAGGGTTCCTAGAGGGTTCTGAAAGAAAGAAAAAGAGGGTTATGGCCCAGATATAATATCTGGAGTTGTTTTTACCAAACTTATTCTAGGAAAATATCAGAAAAATTGTAAATGTTTTTATCCTCTCAGTTTGATGTTCATCGACTATAACTAATCTTTATTTTATTTTATGGCCAATAGCTGATAAATTCTATATTAAAAAAACAAAACTAAAAACTAAATTTATTTGAAATCAACGTTATAACGCACATGCAGGTGCTAGTGGCAAGGACTCAAGGCAATTTTAATAAGACCAAACCTACACTGAAGTGCACACACAAATATACTTGCTCTGTTTCAATGTTCTGGCAGAGCAGATGACACTGTGAAAGTGTCTCTTTGTGAATGTAAACGTCAGCCAACTCAAAAATATAAAACCATCACCTCAGCTAATAGCCTGAGCAGCCTACTGAATTCATTTTTTATTTTTTGGTTCGAGTCTATTCAGTGAAACCAAATGTAACATTTGTCCTTAAGGTCTGGGGCTAAACGAAACACGAAAATGCTTTTGAAAGTTTCGAAGTCAGATCAGTTGAACTGAGTTATGTTTCATAATGCGTCTATTCTGCAGCTGTGTATATGGTGGCTGAATGACTCTCTGAGGTAAGACAACAGGTGCAAGGAGCTGAGTCACTACAGAACACTCTTCTGTAATACAGCCTCTATCACTGCACACACACACAAACATTTTCATCCTCTTTCCTACCCTCTCCTCATCTTTCCTCACTCTCTTTTGTAAACACATCCTGGCAGTGACCGTTGACTCTCAGAATGTGACGGTAAGCTCAGGCATTTCCAGTTCAGTGTCTATTGGCAGGTTTGTGTTCCTGATTTCTAATGCGCAAGCAGCCTACAGCTCAACACCAAGGGCTCATAATAAGGATCCTGACATCAGCCAGGTTAGAATCCTTCAGAAACACCTCCTCATTTTTATGGGATTTTGCCTGACAGGACAGTGGAGGTAGACAGCAAAGTAGAGGGAGGGAGAAAAGAATGGGATCAGGACACATGCTAGATTGAAACCATAGACTGTATAAAAACATGGACGTGGTGTCCGTGACGTCACCCGTAGGTTTCCGAAGAGCGTTTTTGAAGCCTAAAGTAGGTGGAGCCGGCCATCCCCATCTTGGCAGCGCGTCACTCCCGGATAATCGAAAATGGGCAAAGAGGCGGGAGCTGGTTGCTGAAACCATGCCTACCTAGCTCGACAGTGGTGACAGCAGCGGCAATCCACCTGTCACTCAAGTGGCCACGCCATTAATTATGCAGAACGTTAAGGCTTAATATAATTTAAACGGATGAGTTATAAAAAAAAATTCACCCCCCCTCAAAGTTGTCACGAAGGGCAAAATTAGCTATATAGACCAAAACCACCTTTTGTACCAGGCTGTAAACATATTTTTTTCTGCTGTAAATTTGGGCATTTTAACATGGGGAGTCTATGGGACTTCCCTCCCTTCTGGAGCCAGCCTCTAGCGGCCAGTCGATGAATTGCAGTTTTAGTCACTTCCCTGTTGGTTTCACGAGAGAGACCGGAATGTTGCCGCTTGATTGAAACCCATCTCCAAGTGTGTGTGATGAGCATTACTCACTGTGCCACAGCTCTGACATACTTTCTGATATTATGATAATGCCACAGACATCAAAACAAAATCAGTAGAAACAAACTAAATGCTTTAACCCAATCCCTTTGTGAAGGACCTTCCTAAAATATAAAGGCAGCGCCAGCTATATATTATGTATAAAGACATATTTATAAGATTTTTTCAGATATTATTTAACTATATTACAATATTATATATATATATATAATATACTCAAGCGCTGTCCTTGAGTAGATGTGTTTGTGGGAGCCAGGCGTGGGCCCAGTAGAGAGCTGGTTGGAGGTGTGATTCCTGTTATGTTTCTGAGAGCTGGATGCTGGCAGGATCTGCAGCTCATGAAGTGCTGACCACAGGGCTTTTCTCTGGCTGGCCAGGCCTCTCCTGGCACCATTGACGGCCATCAACCGGTGCACAGCATGACCTCTCATGGACAGGGAAATACTCATGCTTACGCCTTGCTCCCTCTCTCCTTCTTTCACACCCCTTTAATTAACTCAACCCGGCCAACCTTACACCCCTACGGATGACACAAGCTTGGCAGCGTGGCTTGTTCTAAAAATAAGACTCAGTCATCGGTTCAGGGTGCTCCAAACAGACATCAGGGCGTAACGTGGAGGAGACGGAATACGGAATACGAACTGGGCCAACTGGGACTAGAAGGAATTTCTAAATATTGGCTTCTCATACTCTGTAATTAGGTCTATATGTCAACCATGTATATGTTGGTGGACATGGCAATATCAATACTAAGTTTAAGATGTTTAATAAGATGTTTAACACTAACATCTTATTATCGCTAAAGTATTCATTTAACACAGGCGTTTGTTAATATCAACCAATGGCATGATAATACGCAAAAAAAATTAATGTTTCAGTTAAATAACAAGCTAGCAGATAACAGCCATTTGGGATTATGGCAAAACTACCCTTTGGGTTTGGCACCAAAACACAGTGACACTGGCAGCTGAATTTTCCATTGAAGACTAGAAGTCTCCTAGAGCTGATTCTGTGGTGAGTGTGGAGTGAGCCCTGGAGGATCCATCTGGTGCTCAGTTAGTCTGTCAGAACCAGTGTACTGTTAATGGAAATTAATGTTTTCTTGCCAAACAAAAAAAAGTGTTGGTAGTCAATTTATCTAGAGCCATCTTTACCAAGAATGTCTATGTAATACCCCAAAAAATCTATTAGCATACCCATTCATCTCATTTGCGCTTGCTTAACCGGCATAGGAAACCCAAGACAAATATGGACAAATTTGAATATATTGTTTAATTATCTCCACAATTCTAATTTATGTTGAAATTCTAAAATTGAAACTTCAGTTAAGGGAAAAGATTTAGTCATCAGTGGCGGCTCGTGGGTTTTAAAATAGAGGAGGCACACTAATTGTATTGGTCTGGGATCCCTGCCGATTATTATTATTATTATTTGCTTAACCACTTTAAAATGGCTTTTTGGTTGCTTTTAGTCAGAAAACGTAAAGAAAACGACATACATACAGCACGGTAATATAATTTCACTTACCTGGCCTATCAAAAGAGAGCTGCCTGTTGCGCCATTTAATTAAGCCAACTGCTGTATTTTTTTACCAACGGAGGCACGAGAGCTCAGCGTCTTCCCCGGCCTCCCCCTCCCCTTCTATATCACTTAGTGGTTGTAATTACATCAGCAGATTCGGCACATTCGCGATAGAAAAGCGGCGTTTTCACGTTATGGTATTACAACTGTGAAATTACAAACAAAAAATACACATTCTGAGACATGAACTGAAATTAATTGTGAATTTTATTAACATTGAATCGTCCTCCTCCCACTTTCACCTCAAAATTATGGGGAAGCTGTGCCTCCCCTGCCTCCCCCGACAAGCTGCCACTGTTAGTCATGTCATTGTATCCAGTTATTCTGACTACAATTTTATCAACTTGTAGTCAAATTGTCACATGTTAGATTTTTGTAACAAAAATAATATTTTAGCTGACAAGAAAGTGCCAAATTAAACCACATATTCCAAAAATTATGTATTAATTTAAAGATATGCATGAACATAAAAACATGTGAAAATTTAGTTTACACTATTGAGTGTTCACAGCAAGTACACTGATACTGATATGGCATGAAAATGTACCAAAAGTAAAGTGCACAGCCATGCAGTGACCCTCATCCCTTTCAGGCAGAATTTAAATGGCAATGCTCAGCACTTTTCATCCTTTCATTCTCCCTCTCTTTCTCAATTTGCTGTGACCAGGCACGTGCACAGGTAGGGCTCAACCTGTGCAGAGTACATGCCCTTTTTGCCCTTATACTCCGAAGTGCCCTTTTTTTGGTGATGGTGTTTTTCTTCTTCTTCAATAAATCAATGATATTGGTCACCCTTTACATCTGTCTGTCTGCTTTACAAATATTTAGCTAATGAAAGGTATTAAAAAGAGCTTGTGACTAAATCTTGTTGGATCCGCTCAAACTGTCATTAAAGCTCATAACTCCACCCCCTCTATCTTGACTGAATGAACTGAAGTTCTACAGCAGCTGAACTAGGTCTGCAAGGGTAAATAAAGATCTTGTTGTTTGAATAAGTACATTATTATCCGCCTATTGTGTTCATGTGCGTTCTACGTTCGTGAATCAGTCTGAATGACCAATATAATGGCATTAATGGGAAGACTTATTTAAAAAAGTAAGTAAACAACTCACACACTTATATGTAACCACTTTATTACGTCAAAATAAGACTTGAAATGGTCTGAAAACATGATCTGTGGGAGTTTTTAGTGAGTAAATCAGCTTGTTGAAATTTAAAGTAAATTTCTGTGTCTGTGACCAATATTTACTGAGCTTTGATGACTGATGAACCGAATAATTCAAAAATAGTTAAAAGTTAACTATTAAAAAGAATAGCTGAACATAAGTTCACAAATAAAATATTTTGTTTAAATTGTTACTGCCTTGAGTTATTATTTTGGAATAAATGTAAAATGCTTAAAAACTTGATGAGATTCATACTTTTAATAAACAGAATATTGATTACATTGTTAATGTAAAAATATCAAATAGAATTGTATTTGTTGTTGTTGTTTTCTGGTAGTGTAAGTAATGTTTATTTAACCAGGAACATGTGACTGAGACAGGAATTTTCATTTGATTTAAAAAAAAAACTTTGATGCCTCCTTATTTCAGAACACCACTGCAAACCAATGATTCAAATATCTATTATATCTATTAAATTTAACTGTCATTGTATTATATTTGAAAAGAGAGTAGAAAGGAGAAAACTGATTGTAGAAGACAGTTTTGTTACTTTGTGGTTGCACTGAGAATACAAAAAGATACATTTTGGAGCATCAAATCAAGTTAACAAAGCGAAACAATCAATTACTA